CCCCCCCACCCCAGTGATTCTCCACCCTGCTACTAATCTTCAGCCAGAACATTCCCCACTCCTCCACACGCATTTCTCCTCGCTTACCTTTGTCCTGCCAGTTCGTTCCAGCTCATTTACCCACAAAACTGAATCTAGGCTTGCCTTGTAGATTCACCCAACCCAGTTTGCCAGCCCATGGTCTGCCCAACCCCCCAAGTCTGCCGGACCACCCCCTAAGGGAAATCTGGCAGTGGCAGGCAATGGAGAATGTTCTGGTTTCGATCAGTGTCCTGGCTGGCGCCGTGACGGTGTGTGAGGTGCTGCGCCGTATAGCCAAGGAGCTGCTGTGGCCCTGGCGGGGGCGCTCAAAGGGAAATCTGAGCCGCAGCCCACACTCTGAGCCCCCTAACCTCGAGGTGGTAGTGGAACTCTTCTCCACCCTGCAGCTGTGCATCTGCACACACGAGCTGCGGCTGCTGGGGAGTTCTGGCCTGCTGGGTTTGATTCCAGCGCTCACCCTCACTTACCTCGCCACCCTCATCCACGTCAGCACCTTCGGCAGCGCCACCTGCAACCCGGTGAGCTGCCTTGAGCACTACCTCTGTGGACAGAGCAACGGGCAGATAGCGGCCGCCAAGGTGTTGGCACAGCTCGCTGCAGCATCTGTGGCTCGCCAGCTCATGGAATTGGTGTGGGCCCTGGACATGTCGGACCTGCACTGGTATCACCACCAGCGCCAGTACAAATGTACCTCAACACTGAACACCACTGCTGAAAACGGGCTGGTTACCGAGTTCACCTGCGCCTTCACTCTGAGGGCTGCACTCTTCAGATTTCACTTGCTGAAGCAGAGGCACAAGATCCATGTGGTGGCTGCATTGATCACATTCCTCGTGTTTGCAGGTGGGTACAGTACAAAACCCGCGCATCATGTAACTGATCGCTGTCTTCCCCAACTCATGTCACTGTCAATAGAAGCTGGAAAAGCACAGCAGGTCAGACAGCATCTGAGGAATAAGAACGTTAACGTTTTGGGCCAAAACCCTTCTTGAGGACTGGTGAGGGGAAGGGGAGCCCAGAAGTAAATAGAGGCAGAGGGGTGGGGCTGGGCGAAGGGTAGGTGGGGGATGGTGATAGGTGGATGCAGGTAGGGAGTTATTGCGGTTGGAGAGGTGAAGCAAACAGGTGAGTAGGAAGATGGACAGGTTAGGTCCAGTCAGGGGGATGAGGAGGAGAGGGAGGACTGAACATGGGCTGAGGCTGGGGGTGGAGGGATTTTGAAGCTGGTGAAATCAATATTGAGGCCATTGGGCTGTAAGTTCTCAAGGCAAAATATCAGGTGTTGTTTCCGCAGTTTATGTTTGGCCTCACTCTGATAGTGGAGGAGGCCAAGGATGGACATGTCACCAGGGGAGTGGGAGTGAGAATTAAAACAGATGGCAACCGGAAAGTCAGGTTGGTTGGCGCATACAGAGCACAGATGCTCCGCGAACTGGTCCCCAAGTCTGTGTTTGGTCTCCGCGATATAAAGGAGACCACATCGGGAGCAGCAGATACAAAAAATCAGGTTGGGTGAAGTGCAGGTGAATCTCTGCCAGATCTGGAAGGGTTATTTGGGGCCTTGGACAGAGGTGAGAGGAGAGTTGTAGGAGCAGGTGTTGCACCTCTTGTGGTTGCAGGGAAAGGTACCGGGTGTGTTGGTGAAGTTGGTGGGGAGTGTAGAGCTGACGAGGGAGTTGCAGAATGAATGGTCCCTGCAGAAAGCGGACAGGGGTGGGGAAAGAAATATCTTTTTGTTGATAGGGTCTGAGGACAGAAGTGTGCATTGCTGGCATGGCCTGCAGTTGCCCCACTATCAGTGATTTGTCCCGAGTAGGTGCAGCAATTTGTGCCAGCGGCTGGCAAGCCATTCAACTTCAGAGCAATTCAGAACTGGACCCAATCAAGAAAGAAAGTGCATTCAAATTATAGAATTGTTGCAGAGCAGGAGGAGATGATGACTGATTTATATCTCAATTCCATCTATTTGCATTGGTTCTGTAACCTTTAGTACAAAATGAATTTATCAATGAAGTTTATACCTTCAGTTCCCCAAAAAAAGGAAGGTTGTAATATGTGTATTTGTAAAAGAGAAAATTATAGTTTGTGAAGCTGAAGATCATTGCTGTTAAAAATTATTTCTTGTGTTAAAAAGTATCATCTGCTACCCTTTCAAAAACAAGTTAAACGATTAAGGGAAAATGCCTCGGTTAACAGCAGTCTATTACTGTGTGAGATTAAAGGTATACTTTGTTGAAAGACTAAAGTCTAGTTTATAGAATGTTCTGTTACTAATCTACTCATTCCTGAGTAAATTTTTAATTCAGCCTCCACCCCTGAAGGTTTGAACACTTATGAAGTAAAATATAAGGTCACCATTGTCCTGGTTGTTCTGTCTTAAGAGAACAAGAGAGAACTGTTGGTGTTTTAACCAGCAGGTCACCACACCTCAGGTGAGGGGAGAGGTTGAGAAGGAAGTCCTTCATGACAACCTCAGCCAGTGCAGGAGCTGAACCCACGTTGTTGTATCACTTTGTATTGCACACCAACCATCCAGCCTACTGAGTTAACCCACTTCCTCAAACAAATATTGATGTCGTGAATGGTGAATGTTAGAGGTCCCAGATGCATGCACATGCAGCTGCTTTCCCACTGTGAAACCAATGGCTGTGTATTGAAGGTTAATGGAATAGGATATATTTTGAAAGATTGTTGGAGACAGAATTAATAAAGGAAAATAGATTTGACATTTTATGGTGTCTTTCATTATCTCATATATCTCAAGTCTCTTTTACAGTCAATGAACATTTTTTAATTGAAGCCACTGTTGTAGGGGGAAAACAAATATAGACGCAGCAAGCTCCCATAAACAACAATGTGTAAATAACCAGATAATCTCTTTTAAGTGACGTTAGCTGAGTAATAAACTTTGGCCAGGAAACTAGGGAATGCTCCCTTGCTCTTTAAAAAGTAGAGTTGCAGTTTGCCCTCCTGCAAGGGTAGAAGGGGCCTGTGGTTTAATGTCTCATCTGAGCTCTGTCTTGTACATTTCAAATCAAAAGGAACTGATTCAGTGCAGAGCTGTCAGCGTTCATTAGAACAGCCAGAGCATTTGCATGCATGAAGTGTGTGGCTGCTGAACTAGATCCTCTCAGGAATCTTGGAGCAGCTTTTTTTGTTTTTTTTCTGAAGAAAGGTCCAGACCTGAAATGTCAGCTTTCCTGCTCCTCTGATGCTGCTTGGCCTGCTGTGTTCATCCAGCTCTATACCTTGTTATCTCTTGGAGCAGCTTGAGTTGTGGCTGCTCTATTTGCTAGACATTGTTGCAGCAAGTAATATTTTGTGCACATTTGAGGTTTTGAGGGTAAACGTGAGTTTGGCCCTTGTTATGCCCAGCACTCAGAGGTATGGAGAGTACACAATAGGTATACAGCATAACCAATAAGGTCAATGCCGGTCATTATACCCCCACACCTCTTCCTCAATTTATTAGCAAATCCTTTTGTTCCTTTCTCTCTTGTGTTTATCCAGCTTCCCCTTAAATGCTGTTAATCTCACCTGTTCCCTGTGGTATCAAGTTCCACATTCACACTTCTCTCCAGGTATCAAAGTTACTCCTGAATTCTCCAATTAGTTTATTGATGACTATCTTAACATAGAACAATGTACTTTACAGAAAAGACCATTCAGTCCATTGTGCCATCCTCTCTAACGAGCATCTCACCTTGTGTCATTCTTCTGCCTTCTCCACTTAGGCACATTGGTTTTCCAATAACTGTTTAATTATCTTTTAAGTACCTCTAACAAGCATCCAGGCAGTAGATTCCAGAGCCTAACCACTCACTGCATGAAAAGGTTTTTCTCATACTGCTTTTGCTACTCTTGTCAAATGCTTTAATTCCGTGTCCTCTTATTTGAAATCATTTTATTGATGGCCCCCTGCCTTGGTCTCACCACAAAATAGGAAATGTTGTCTGAATCACAGTTGAGAGAGCAATGCAAAGCCTGACCACTTCAGTTGAAAGTGTAAACTGCACCAGACTTTATGGAAGATTGCTACATTATGCTAATGCCACACGGTCTCCTACAAGATGGTAGGCTGACTCTGACCCTCGGCACTCTGACCTGCAGTATTGTTCTCCTTCTTGGTGCTTCACTCTTCATCCATAAGTTGACATTTGCTGATCTTCTCTGTTGAACATCGTTACCCACCTGTTCCTGTCATCTTTCCAGATTTTCCCTTCAGCATCCCAGTTTCTGCACCCAAACAGTGCCTAGCCATTGTAATGAACTAACCCATGTGAGATTTTTTATCTATATTATACACACTAAATTTAGAAACTTAGAAAATATCGGCCATTTGGCCCTTCAAGCCTGCACCGCCATTCAATATGATCATGGTTGATCATTCAATTTCAGTATCCCATTCCCGCTTTCTTTCCATACTCCTTGATCCCTTCAGCCAGAAGGGCCATTTCCAGCTCTCTCTTGAATACATCTAACGAACTGGCCCTGACAACTTAACTGTGGTAGAGAATTCCACAGGTTCACAAGTTTGAGTGAAGAAATTCTTCCTTGTCTCCGTGCCGAATGGCTTACCCCTTATTCTTAGACTGTGATACCTAGTTCTGGAATTCCCCAATTTATTTTAGAGTTTGGATGTTTGAACTAGTGGCATGTGGGGTTTTTGGTCTATGTGTGTTAGATATTTAATAATTGTCAGTATTTCGGGAGGCATATTTTTTTTCAAACGTGTGTGTGTGTCTGTCTGTCTGTCTGTCTGTCTGAGAGAGAGCCCCGGAGTGATAATGGGAATGTGATTTCATTGAGTGTGTTTTAGGATTGTATAGAATAATAATTGGAAATCATTAATTTGCTTTATGTTCAGAAGAGGCAGGATTGCTTTTGCTTAGAGGGGGGAGGAAAAAAAAGACATAGCTTGGAAAGCTTTAGCTTTCTGTTTGCTAAGGGCAGGTCTTATGAGGAAAGGTTGAGGGAGCGAGGGCTTTTTTTCATTGGAGCGAAGAAGGACGAGAGATGACTTGACAGAGGTGTACAAGATGATGAGAGGCATAGATAGAGTGGATAGCCAGAGACTTTTTCCCAGGCGGAAGTGACTATTACGAGGGGGCATAATTTTAAGGTGATTGGAGGAAGGTGTAGGAGAGATGTCAGAGGTAGGTTCTTTACACAGAGTGGTGGGCTTGTGGAATGGGCTGCCGGCAGTGGTAGTGGAGTCAGATACTTTAGAGACTTTTAAGCGACTCTTGGATAGGTACATGGAGGATAGTAAAATGTAGGGTATGCAGGGTAGTTTGATCTTAGTAGGATAATAGGTCGGCACAACATCGTGGGCCGAAGGGCCTGTACTGTGCTGTACTGTTCTATGTTCTATAAAGTCCTGGTTAAAGTTAGATGTGAGAAACAGTTTATCCCAGAGAAAGGAGTCAGTTCAGATCAGTTAATAGGTTACCAGAGTGCAAAGGATTTAGTTGAAAGCTCCAGACCAGAAGTGTTTGATGAGAACCCTGAAAGGGTTATTTGAAGTTGAGAATGTCTAAGCTCAATTGTGTGACTAATCAAGAAAAAGGCTACCAAACTCCAAGACTGCAAATTGAAAGAAGTGGTAAAGTCAAACTTACAGATGCGATAGAAAAGGGTATTTCTTCAGAAGTTCTGGCGAAGCATCCCAGGGTACTAAAAGAGATGGCGGGAGAAATAGCAGGTGCACTGGCAGTAATTTTCCAAAATTCGCTGGACTCTGGGACAGTCCCAGCAGATTGGAAAACAGCAAATGTGACGCCACTGTTTAAAAAGGGAAGTAGACAAAAGATGGCGAATTATAGACCGGTTAGCTTAACCTC